GTTGTATGTGTGAAAATTTACTTCGTTATGCCCTATAAAAGACTTATCTCGAGGAAGACTTTGTCGAGAATGAAATTAATGGATAGATAACGAACGATATTTATGAGTTGATATCGAATCTTGCAAAAACTGCTTCTTTAAGGATCAATTCTTTTAATTTTTAAAATAAAATATTGTATTTTCAAATGTTAGCGATTAAAACGAATTATTCACCATTTTTTATTTTAATTTGTTACATATTCATTTTATATTTAAATTTATTCGTAAAAGAAATAGAAAAAAAAGAAAGAAATTTTAATTGAATCGTATCTTTGATTTGTCTATGATAATTTTCAAGGAAAATAGATGTGCGAAAGATCGATTAGAAGTACGCATGTTAATTTCCATGTTCATTCACTCGTGAAACCAATAAATCAAGATGAGATTGGATTTACGATCATGGGGAAAGTAGCCACGTATATATAGGCCAACCTGAAAAGTTTCCACTCGTCAAGGTCTGACACCGATTTGCCTATAAAATCTCGCAGAAAAAAAAGTGAAAATAGTCTCTTGGAGGCTTTATATGGTTTCGTGCATGCAAAATGGTCTGGTTCGTCGAGGTGTACAATGATTTCTGGAACGAGAAAAAAAAAAAAAAGGGGAGAGAGACGAATCGATTTCTTGATGTTAAAAAAGCGAGGTATCCCGGAATAGACCGCAATTGTTGAAAATTCCAATTCCGTTTGAAGTATGCCGGATGATCGAGAATATAATGGAACGGAAGACAGAAAATAAATTGACTGTAATTTTTTTTTTTTTGCAGAATTCGGTGAAATATCACACTGGAAAATGAAGAAATTTAAAGGAATGAAGGATATTTTTGTAAAGGGATTCTTAGTCTGGAAAATTCTAATATGGATTTATAACGAGCTGATTTTAATTCTTAATTATTTGGCGTATTTATACTTGTGGTATGTAAATTGTGTACAGAGTATTTTGAGTAAACTGACAAAATTTACAGAAAATTTTATTTCAAGAAACATATATTTTTTTTTATAATAATGAATCGATTCATCTCTTTTGTTTCTAGGCATAGAAAATGGATTGATATAAATCATAGGTAATTAGATAAGTTCAAGTTGCTTAACTCTTGCTAAATTATTTATTTGAAATTATACGAAATCGTATTTGACATTGATATATTTCACTGATATTTGTATCGCTCAAAATAAGCATTTCGTATGTGCACAAATTAATATGATTTTATTAATCACGTTCATTGAATATCAGTAATTTTATTGTTTGTTATATCAATTGTTCAAGCGTATCAGATTTTTCATTTAAATTCACCCTCCATTTTATACAATTCTATAGAAATAAATTTAAAGGGAATAAATCATATCATAAAGCCATAGATTTGATTTCTTTTTAGTCATGGAGTAAAAAAAAGTTTCGTTGGACAATAATATTATATTTTGATATCATTGACTTGCAGATGAATGTCGTCAACTAGGTCGATATTTTATTCTTATCTATACATAATATAATATAAAAATCGCATCGATGAATAAATTATCTCGATCAAAATAGAAGAATAATCTTTTAACGCAATAACTGGACGTACTTCGACAGTACAATAGCAATGAATTGTTTATCTAACATTTTTTTTTACTCAGGAATGAAATATGCTGACAAAGTTTGTCGGTTTGCTCACGAAACACATCGTATATTGGATTCAAAAGTGATGTTCGTTGTATAGGAATATACGGATGGTTGTCAGATCTTTTATTTTTTAACGTTTTACCAGAACTGCATGGTGATACTGAATTCACATTGGCTAGACAATTTTGAGAAACCTTTTATATATAATACGAATGTATATGTACGAATGTCTTTTTCATTTCGTTAAAAGAGTCAATAGAGTTGAAGGTAACAGGTTGAATAAGTAAAAAAGCCAAAATCATAGCCATAATTGCAGAACGTGATATTAAGTGGATATTTGTGAAGATGGAGTAACAAAAGGAAAAAATGGTTAAGTGGAACAGTCGTAATAAAAGACTGTATAGATCATTAAATATGCATCCGAGTGAGAAAAACAAAAATTCTCTGTATTGTTCCACTGTAACATAAGAGATAAGGTTAATCTCTTGAACTGGACGCAAATTTTTGTTGAGAAACAAACGAGGTAATAAATTGTAGGAATACGAGCTATAATTATGGATAATACCATAATGCTGGTTAAGTGGGTGTAGGAAGTAACATATTACAGGTAAATGTTGCACATTCGAAATCGGAATTTATGGTCTGTGAATGGCGTACATTGTTAAGGCAAACGTGTACCTAATAAATAAATCGATACGGTGTTAATTTCAATATACAATTAAAGTATCGATAATACAATTAATATTGGGATAAAAGACACGTTGAATTTTTGATTCTAAATATACGCTTGAAACAAAATGAGAAATTATATCGAAGAACGAATATATAAATTTTTCTAAAATTTTGACTTTTGCTTTAAATTATTTCGATGTTATTACCTTGCAAGTTGTTGCGTTTATAAACGTACAAGTGAACATGAAATGCTTTATACCGAATATCAGCATGTCAAACTGCAGGAAGTGCCTACTGCTGAATTTAACGCGACTAAATTGCATCCGGTGTACGACATACCTCTTTCTTTTTAAGTTTATAAATATCACAGCAACGCTCTACGTTCCGTCAAATATACGCGAATCTAAATGCATTCCAATTTGTTCATAAATCGGAAAAATTCCAAAGTTTAAGTAAATTTAAACGAATACTTTTTAACGATCGATATTAAAGAGAATATATTAAGAAAATATATTAAAACGATTAAAGATTTGTCTTAAAAAAATTATTAATTCAATTATTTTAGTAACTCTCGGTATAGAATGAAGATTAAATGTTTTATTCATATGATTTATACAAAAATTTAATCTATATATCCTTTCTTTTATATTCAAGCAGTATTTTAACGCTGTATACTATAAGAATATTAATTCTTGAGAATAAAATTCATTTAGATCAATTTTACTAGACAATATTTTATATTCTGCTTGTGTAATATTTTCCTAAGCATTTTCCATTTTTAACGGGAACAGTTCATTGTAAATTCATGGATTTTATAAAAACCGATAAAAATTATATGAAAAAAAAGAAAAAAAAGAAAAAAATGACACGTTTATGCGCATATAATTGTAACGATGTTACTAGACAATTCAAAATTTCCAAATTTGCGTATATCGTTGATATTTTATTGCATTAATTCTGGGTTACGTCCATGTGTCATAACAGCGGCTATCTGTATTTATCGTGTACTCTGTATCGGACTATAATTTCATCGCATAAATTTTATGTCAAATTTATGATACGGTGTTCACAGTGAAGAGTACTAAATTGTCTAACAGCGAACATGTATCCGTTATCCGCGCAACTTATTTACCCGCGATGCGTTATTAAAAATTGCGCGAATACATTCCTTCACGATCCTTTTTACGCTATATTTTCCCGATACGGTTCACTTTTTCTGGTTCAATTACTTTAATTTCCAATGGATTTTCCGGTCCAATTCGCATTTGCGAGGAATACGAAGTCAGTTTAATGCAATAATTTATGAGAAACGATATTTAAAACTTGACAGAGATACGGTTTTATTAAAAAGTTTATTTCAAAACTTTTTGATAATTCTATTTTTTAGTAAATTCTTAATGTTTTACAATATTGTAACAATTAATAATAATTGTTACAATAAATGTTTAGTTTCTCCTGTAGGTATAGATACTTTAAAATTAAATCAATCCGTTTTAAAAAATTAATAACGGACGTGATTTTATTCCTAAAGTTTTTATCGTGACCTATTTTAGATAAAAATAATTGTTCGATTAAATTATTTTTATAATTTTTATTTTAAATAATTAAGCCAGGTTAAATGTAAATTACTTCTTTCGTTATAAAATATAATAAAATATAAATTATAATAAATTGCAAAAAAGGGATTGAAAAATGTAAAACGTGGAATATCTCTTCAATATTCCAATAAATAAAATTGTAATTGTTATAAAATAACTCGTAATATATAGTGATACGAATAAGTTACAAATTAGAATAAATTAGTTAAAAAGATGTTGATTAAATCAAAATACAATTGTAATATTATGTTATTTTATGGTTTTCGGCTTCCATAATCATGTGTTCGGTTCATTGCACCTGGCAATAACAGCTGATGGAGCGTAGCGATCACATGTAGTTTGTTCACTTTGGTTTAATACTGGTACAAATCAGGCTTATAACGGGAGCAGTCCGAATTGTGTTATGCATCAGTACAAACATCGTTCATTTTGATTTATGACGCTCGTTATTTGGCGAATTCATCGTTGTTTCCTATGAATGTAAAGAATCGCAACTGTTTGATCACTATTATGATATTTATTCGTCGAATATATCTTTTTCAACTTTTTTCAATTTGAGGTTTTCATTATAAATATGATATATCAATTATTTTCCTGAAATAAATCAAAATATTTATTAATATTATTAGAAATTGTGTTGATATTTTTTCTACAGAATTAAATCTATCGTATATATCTCAATTGATATGATCAATTGGTAATTTATTTATATCTTATATCAGAAAATATCGTCGAATTTCATCTTGTATTTGAAGAGATTTGTATATAATATTTTTTTTTTAATTTTTTCCAAATTTTTGATAAATTCCACATGTAAAATATTTCGATCTTAGTCAATGAGTAGGATGAACTGTTGCGAAACGCAATACATAAGATAAGAAGCGTGTATATATGGAGGCGGTAGGTGGGAGAAGGATAGGGTGTGTGGTAGGGACGTTGGTGTATGGCGGTGCTATCAGTATCAGTGTGCCACGGCGCAACCGGACAGGCGTTTCGTGATGGGGGTGGCTGGATAGAGGCGCCTAACGGTAGCTGAGTCGCATGATCCCTTCATTCGGGTTCGCACGGCTACCGTCGTCTACTCTCGGTTGTCCGTGTTTCGAAGAATTTATCGAAACGGTCGTACCACTGCGTTCGCATTCGTCTACGCGAGCTTCACTCGTTTTCGCGCGTGCAACTATACCTTTCTTTCTCGAGTTTCTTTGTTCCGTCATTTTCAGCATTCCGTTTCCGTGCGTTCCTCATTCTTACGCGCTTTACGATGATGTTCGACTATTATTTAATGTATTTGTTTTCGATAATAATTGCGTATCGTTTATTCGATAATTCTCGAAAAAAATTTATCTTTGTACGTGTATAATTTTGTTTATTCGATATTCGATGAAAAATGAACGTAAGTGATTGAATAGTGTTTGTAGTGATTCTGCCAATATTTTTCTGGAACGAAGTGTATCACTGATCACGTGTCAATCTTGCAACGAATTTTTAATTAATAAATTTTATGTTTTAAAAATGTTTAAAAAATATATATAATTTTTATTTTATATAATAATTTTGATTAACGAAACGAATATACTATGTAAAATTGGAAAAGGAAAAAGAATTTGGTGTCTAATAGTTCATCAACGATTCCGGTGGTTTGCTTAGTTCCATTAGTTTTCCCGCGATTTTCGTAGCTAGCATCATGGACGCGTCCCTCGTGCATTTTTTAAGAGTGTAAACTGTGAGTGGAAATATATAATTATTAAAACACGAACACGTGAAATACCTTTGGAAATTAAACATTTAATAAAAACAATTGTATTGGCGGCTAGATTTTAAGTAAATAGAGGCTTTGAGTGTATTTATCGGATCAAAAGCTTTGATCTTGCGTCTGAAATATTGTAATCACCGATGATACATCGGAAAAAAAATTCAATGTGACTATGTCGCTTCTATTGAATAGAATTCGGTTGTATGATAGATGATATCGTGATAAATCAGTGAATAAATGAAGAATGACATAAATCGTGTGGATTGATCGCGAGTGAATATCATAAACGTTACCAATGCGAACCAATATTCAATGTCAGTGATTGAAGTGACGTAATATATGTTTAACATAACCTATATATCAACATCGTAACTGAACGTTGTCTTTCAATAAGATACGTGTAATCGATGTTACAAACATATAATCATCGAATCGAAATTTAATAAAATATTCTTAAATTTCGCGATAAGTGTTCAAAATGTTTGATTCATTAGGACCGACTGGTTCTTTGATTAGACGAGACAATCCCAGCAACTTGAAACCAATTAAGAGTTTGAAACCATTTTCCTGAACGAATCTACTAATTAAAGCGGGTCATTTAGTATTCTACTGTAAAATCGGTTAATGTCGCCATGCTGGAGAGATCGAAGTAGTTACGTTTATACGTTTGAGTGGTGTTTGCGTTCGGATATACGGCTACAGATCGGAAGAACAGCCACGAATCGACGAGTCGTTTTTTTCACGACTGACGTTTACTTGGCACAGGAATATTCGTCGAAAGAGGGAATGAAGGACCATCCAGACAGCACGTAGGGACTGGCCCTTCTCGTTTTCGGAGATGTGGCGCTATCTACAATACACTATCTTCGGGCTTACCGTCGTCCTGCTGACGATTTATGAGATAGTCTTCGTGCAAGCTGGTGAACAAGGTAAAGACACTTTATTTTATTGTATCTTATCTTTCGTAAGGAAATTTTAAGAAAATTTTTAATTAATAAAAAATAGCGATAAAATAGAAAAATAGTATAAGCTTCGAAAGCAATTAGTCGAAAATTTAATAGAAAGAAAATAATCGGACTATGAATACTTATTTTATTCATTGATCGATAATTGAACGCGGAATATTGAAAGTTGCACGTTTGTTTTCCGATGCTTGTACATTCATGCGAACTAACAATTACGCTCCATTGAATTCTGCGGTTAACATTTTCTGTTCTAAAATTTTTTTTCATTGTCACCACGATTTTAATTCTATAACATTTTTGTAAAACTACATATAGAAAGATTGACACTGCAATTGAAAGATACAAAATTTAAATATTGATCTATCTATTAAAAATTCATCATGAAATTAGGAAGGGAAAATAGAATTGTTATATCAATAAAATAAAATATTTCGAAAAATGTATAATAAAATTTTTAAATTTTTAATAATTTTATTCAGTTAAATTATTAAGAAGTAATAGATTTTAAATTGATTCTGTACATTTTTGATAATTTTGAAGATTAAACGATTATTTTTTTATAATTTTTTCTTTCTATTCCTAATTATCTTTTTCATATATAGTAAATTATTTTATTGTTGCATACAAATTTTGCAAAAGATGTACGAAAAAATGAAAAATGTATTATTTAAAGTAATTACATAACGATTTTATAAAAATTATTAAATGCCATTGAAAAATTAATTGACATGCCTATATAAAACATATTTATACATAACCTAATTGTGCAAAGTTCGTGCAAATATAGAGCAAACAACTTTACCATTAACTTTTTTAACTTTTTTCTTCGAGAAATATTTTAATTTACTTCATTTATTTTAATTATTATTATTATTATTAATTGTGTTGACGTCAACAATCAACCGATAAATTTGAATTAGTTCTCATAATTGCTGCGAAACTTTTGTCATTTGATCGAACGGTTTCCAATATTTTACAGTTTCGTTTCGCATATATCTATAGTTATCGCGAAGTGTATAAGACATCGACAGTAATGCAATTTCCTTCTGTCAGGAATGTTATTTATCAAAAATTTCTTTTTCATATCATAAATACGCGTGTCGATTCTTGATACAATAGACGATATTCTACCGTTGATTCATTTCTTTTACTGATTTATTTCTAAATGAAACAGTTTTTACCGAAACGATATTTTTTGTCGATGATAATTTTTTATGCGAAATTAAGTTTCTCGATTATTTTTTCGACGCATTTTTTCTTTTTCTTCTGAAAAATAAAAATCTGATCAGATTTTATATTAAATTATTAATTTTCGATGACACAGATAAAATTCTTCCAAATATCGCAAAATATCGAAGAAAAATTTTAAATCGATATATCGATTAAAAATTTTCATTTTTTAGCAATATTTTCTATTATATCTTTATCTCATGATTCTGCTTGGTCAGCATTATAATTTCACTAATAGAATTAGCTATAAATCGTTTTAATGTTTAAACTTGTGACTTCGCAGTAGGTATGGCTGGTTTTGATAAACCACAATGCGTGAACGAGAGTATGCGTGGTTTATATGCACGTTGCCGCGTTTTAGCGCAATGTAAATTGTAATGGCTTTACAGTTTCATAACAAAGTTACACATACAATGTATTCAACTACATGAATTATAAATATTCGCATAGTTTGTGCAGCGAAATTGAAATCGATATTTCCTTTTATCAATTTTATCGAAGATTTTCAATTCATTATTTACTTTTTTGTTTTTTGTTTTTTTTTTCAAGCAAAATTTTCTACATATCATCGAAAAAATTTTATACAAAAGATAACAAATAATATCTCACTTTTTTGTTGCGATCTTTAATTTTTTATTCCTGGTAGATTTATTTATTGCATTTGATATTGTTTCAATACAATTCAATTATTTTATATTAAACGTTATTATATTTTTATTCAATTCTCGTCAACTTTTTCTCATATTATTATTCAACCAAATGATTTATCCATCCTCAATTGAATCTTTTTTTTCTACTTCTCAGATTTTGTTGCCGAATATTTTCTAAATCAATGTATCGTAACGAATGTGATTCGTGAACAATTCTTTCGATGCTGTACCGAACTAAAGTTAAGTGAATGGGATCGCTTTAAGCCGGCGAATTTTTACGAATCGATCAAATCTGCGTTCGGTATCGCTTTGTTCGGATGTGAATGCAATCGAATCGTATTGTCAAGTTCTCATCGTACTATCACGATCGACCGCTAAAAAATGTATTAGCCCTTTGTTCATTTCTATTTTTCTTACTAGGATAATCCTCGATTCACGTCTATTTTTTATTTTCTTTATTTTTTAATCGTTCGCACACGATTCGATGACGCAAATACGTAGTCGAGAATAATTTGAATTTAATACGTTTGATATCTACAAACCGAGAGTGCATACAACTTTCATCTCGTAAAAGCCATTGTTTTGGCTAAGCAATATTTTTGAGAACAGAATACATAGTTTCTGAGTAGAATGCAATAACTAGAATATTTTGAAATGCACATACCAAGTTACATACTTGTATGTGATCTCATAACCTACATTTTGGATTTGTACAAAATCATGTAGAAAGCTTTGCAAATAGGTACGCGTCTTACTCGTATCTGCTATAGAATAGAAATTATATTTTACGTACGAGTTTGCCCTAAATACATACCTCGCGTAGTAACTTTATAACAGAACTGAATAATAATCTAAGATCATAGATCTTGCAACGACTAACTAAGTTTTTCATATTTTTAGTGCCGCTTTTACACGTTATATATATATATGAAATATGAAATACGTTAAATACATTCCGTTTATACGATATTGTTTATTTATGTCTTTTCACGATTTATATTATTTTTTTGAAAATCCTGTGATAAATGTTATAAAATATTCGCATAGGATTATTTTGTGTATGAAAGGAATAGAAATTGAAAATATAAAATATAAATCAACTTTTTGAAACGCGAAAAACTAAAATTGACAAAAAATAATACGAAACGAAATGAAAAAGTTGAAATAATACTTACTTTGACATAAATTTTAATCTATTTACTGTTCACACCTAATCACACGATTTTCCCGATATCTAACGTTAATTTAATAATCGGATACCGAATTGGATTATTTAAACGAAACATTATGCGCACTCTATTAAGCATAATTGTCGCGTTAAAATGTTAATGGCGATGCGCGAAACGCGGAAAATGAATCGATAGCGATCATGACGGGAAAAAGGGAGAAAAGCAAATCGGGCAAGCTGAAATTTCACAATGGTGTGTGGCTGACTCTTGGTCAATTAATTTCGCTCCATTACACGGGCCAAGCGGAAGATTAATAAACTTCGCCTCGTCACGCTCGTAACGCGTGCCAGCTTAGTTTACCTTGGAGTTTATCTACCAGTGAGCATAAATGCTCGCAATTTGTTCGCGCTTGTACCAGATAGCGGCTATAATAGAAATTTCATCCTACTAGCCTTCTTTCTAATTCTTCCATTAATTTAATTCGAATCTTTTTACACGATGCTACTCTTCCCATATATTTACACGTGAATCAACTTGATCTGATCGCGATCGTACGTGGCATCGATTAATTAGAACGAATTCTAAACAAACAACGATTTTGCACAAGTTTTCCCATGATACCGTCTTATCTTTAAGAAAATTAAGTTCAGCTAGCTGGGGAGGGGGGGAAGTCAAATGAAAAAAGTTTTATTCCGTAAAGCTTGGATACGAAACTTTTCCGGGTATATATTTGATTATACGTCACGGTATCTTCTTTCCCACGCAGATATTTCGTCCAACTAATTCGTAACTTTCCTTTCCGCGTTTCAACGAACGAGTCTCGCGTGCTGCGCCTTCAACTCGAATCTTTTCGAGTTTTCCCCCTTTCGTTCGATGAAAGTGTTCCTTCCACGTCTAAAATTGGATCGGTTTGGTCGTGAAAGACGTTGGCGATTGTTCGTTGGCCAGATTGTCGACGCTATCCAACCGCTGGTTTCCGAGATTCATGAAAGCTTCGTGCGACCTCCAGATATCCTCGCGTTGAAGTAAGTTGAGGATTCTGGATAGAGAGAGCGGAAATTAGACGTTGGACACTTAACCGCCGTTGAACAATGTATTTCCGCGCGTTCGACCGCAATCGAAACAAATCGAATAATTTGACTAGATGGAAATAAAATTTTAGCTTAGTCTATAAAATATCGTTCTAAGAATTTTCTCCAATTTCACTCTTAATTACTTGTCTTTGATGATGCAAATTTTATTCTTGTAGTATTGTTTCCGATATTTAGCGCGAATAAAGTCAAATATAATTTTGGAAAGAAATAGATTATATCCCGTATCCGTGATCGAGAACGTGAATACAAAAAGTTGGGACATAATTTTCTAAAAAACTATAAGTAATTATGCACGAAGCATCGAATACTGTGTGAAAACTTGTTTAACTTTTCCTACGCAATAATAGAGAGAGAGAGAGAGAGAGAGAGAGAGTTTCTCGGGACATTTCTGAAACAGGCACAAATTATCCTGGATAATCCAACTTTGACGTCCGATAACTATTTTCTTTTTTATATTTCCTTGTGTTCCTTTCGAAGCTTATGCCGAGAATGCTTAACAAGTTGGAACATAAAAGCGACTTAAACTTTTTCCTGTATTTCATTTTTTCCCGTTATATATACCACGATCGAATCAAACTTTTATAATGAGGATTTATACGTATAAATCCTCGCGTATCGTATATACACATTGATAACGCAATGTTAATATTATATTCTATGTAATAACATAGGGTGGAATTTGTACGAAAATTTTTATTATACCGATGGGTATAATAAAAGATGACGCAATCGATCCATTCGTTACATCATCTTTTTCTCGTGGCTTGTAATCGCACGGAATGAAACGTGTACGGGCTCGCACACGTCAGAGATAAGAGGTG